CCGCCCTGGGGAGACTTGCGGGTGGCCTTGTTTTCTCCAGGTGCGTCGGGCGGCTCCGGGATGTGCACGCTGGGCTCGGGGCCAGCAGCATCCTCCATCGGGTTCAGTTCCAAGGCTTCTAACTTCACCTGGACCGCGGACACATCGGCATCGGCATCCCCGAACACTGGCTCCGGGGACTGCCCTTCGATGGTCCTCCCCGGGCCCCCGTCGGAGCTGCCGCCTCCCCTTCCAGCTGTCGCGGCACAATCGGAGGAAAAGGCCTCCGCGGCGCCCAGGTTGTGAGTCTTGCCGCCCTCATTCTGCTCTTGGATCAGCCCGATGGTGTCCCCGCAGCCCAGCGGACTCTTGGTCCTTGTCGCATTCTTTTTGTGGACCCGGATGTGAGTCCGCCACGGAGAATTGAGCTTCGTCTTAAGATCTTCGTAGGGGGCAGGAGATACTTTGCCTCCTGTGTGGCCCGGGATGTGGATGACAGCATTCTTGGCTGCTCTGTGGGACAATTTCATCTTCTTTCCTAAAAGAAGGTGGTTTATAACTGGAGAGCTGTTTACCTGAGACGGGAGAATGCTGGTCACTGGCCCTTTGTCTGAAAGAAACGTTGAAAGGTTGTGTGAAAACGTACCACAGAGACAGACAGCCATCACTGAACAGGAGTCACGAACAGGTTGTCCCCAGATCCCACATGTTTCCCAGGTATGGGGCAGAGTTGTGAAACTGAAGGCAGCAGGAACTGAATTCAATCCTAGAGCCTGGGGTACCAATTCCTTCCTTTTCAAAGAGGAGGAGACAAGGGGCCAAGAATACAAAAAGGAACAGACTGACCCCTTATTACTAAGTAGAATCCAGACTCCCGAATGCTTTTTATGAAGAGCTTTTTGTCTCTGAGAAGCAGCCTCGGAAGTCTCGTATCTAGGAAATCTTTGAAGATTTTTTAAAACAATAAGCCAAGCATTACGACCATATGGATTACCAGCTGGCAGCTTCCAAGATGTAGGAAAACAACACACTGCATATTATTAAGTGAGAGACAGCAAAATGAGAGAAGTGCTAAGAAGGTGGTAAAAATGCAGTGAAGTCACAGCTACCCAGTGCCTGGTCTCAGGTGTCCTCAATGGACGTTTGAAAGCAAACTGAAAGCTGGAAAGCACCAAAAGCTGTGTTCTCCTGGAAGGCACTGTTGATAGTATTACGGTCCTCCTGTGGTTGTGACCAAGCCTCTACTTCCCATGAAGCTTCAACACTCATGGCCCTGGGGATGGCGGCAGCAAGGCGCTCGACAGGGAGAAGGCCCCTCCAGCTTCGTGTGAACGACCTTGTCTTGTGGCTGAACTCCCTTCCATGCTTCTCAACTGCTGTCCTCTATCTACCTCTGCTCACAGTCCAATTTTCACTGAAACTCTGACAACTGTTTCCTCTGCACTCTGTCTCCTACTACCTGCCTCGGTCACTTTACTGTCTCTGTGACTGACCTGTCTGCACAGTCCCTCAGCCTGCCCAGTTCCGTCCTAAACATTGCCCCGACCTGCCTCACATGAAAACTATCTAACCCTCCTCTTCTTCTCTTTGACTCTCCCAGCTCTCAGACTCTCGATCTAACTATACCTGGGACTGAACCTCAGAGACTGGTTCCTTGATCCCTCCACCTTCTCGTAACTTCTCAGTGTCTCTCTGGCTCACTTACACCCCTACCCGGCTAGATGTACGGCTGATCACTTGGACCACACCTCACCAATAACCACACATTCCAGACATCCCCATCCCTTTATCACACGTGCCTGCAAAGTGCCACTCTAGATCCACAATGCACATTCTTTCCAAAAAGGGAGCTAATAGCTGCTGGGAGGGGGGAGGGGGGAGGGAATTACACAGGCATGTGGAGTGATACCCCTTCAAAGTCATAACTTCCTGTTTTGTTAGGTCCTCAATCCTCTGAACAAACTTCTTTCTCTCTCTTACTGCTTCCAACGGCCTATCCAAATCTTCACTACTTTAAGCTCCCACCCAACCTTCAACTTATTCCCAAGCAAACAATGTTTCCTCCAGTTTCTTCACAAAAACAGAAGCTCTCAGATCTGAAATGCCTTAACTTACTGTCCTCCCTAACCTGAGAAGCTGGAACCTCAACCATCATCCTTACCACCTTCCTTTAAATCTCAGAAGCGAGGACTTTTCTCTCTCGCTTGAGTTCAATCTCTCCACCTGTACTGCTAATCCTATCCTATACCATCTCCTCTAAAACCTTGCTACTCAAAGTGCGATCCCCGCCCAGCAGCAGCATCACCTAGGGCCTTAATGGAAGTGCATAATTTCAGCCCCACCCCACAGCTACTGAAGCAGATTCTCCATTTTAACAGAGCCCCAAGTGATGCATAGTCACCCCAAAGTTTGAGAAGCAATGTTCTCGAACTTTGCCTTTGAGCAGCAATCCTTCCCTAAAAAGAACCACGTACACCATGATCTTGAGTAGGGGTCGGCAAGCTTCTCCTGTAAAGGACCAGACTGTAAATATTATAATCACTGCAGCGCAAAAGCAGTCACAGACAACATGCAGACAAATGGGTATGCCTGTGTTCCAGTACAACTTAAATTTTATTTATTGGAGTTTCCAATAAAACTCCAATGAAAA